AAATGCTAATGTTTCTCTTTTCATCATGATTCATGAAGCTTCTGGCTTTCAAACTTACAATTTCAGTTTCAGTCATGGGAATTGGATTATTTCAGCCCCTGTCCCTTCTCAAATGTTACTAATCAAGAAATTTGTTGTTTCTAGCCTACTCGAATGGGGTATCTGAATTCCTGACCTAACAATTCACGTTGGTTTTGAATCAGGATAAGTTTATCTCTCTGTTTCGTGCAGCAGCACCTGTAGCAGTGTTAGCCATGGAAAATACTCTCAAAGGAAATATATTCACAACTGTAAACAGGATAAGAAGGTGCCTCTAAAATGTGAGTGGAAAGAGAATACTATGTATTCACCCACAAGTGATCGGTAAATCCATGTAGTACATCAATCAGACTACTGGTCAAACAGGCATGGCATCAAAAGTCTACTTTGACATTTTAATCCCTACACAACAAGCAATTCTGTAATGCTTTCCTTACTTGCATCGTGCAGTTAGTTCCTAAAGGTCTGAATTACAAAAGAGAAGAGCGGATGGAGGCACGCCCATGCTTGGGCCTGCAAGCAGAACCCCTCCTTGCCTGCTCCACATCCTCAGGGACTCTACTACAGGTACAAGGCTCTGGAAGAGGAATGCCTGTCTGTGGGTGGTAACAGCCCACTGGCACCAGACGAACCGACAAAATCAAAATTAGAACAGCCTTATTCCAGTATCAGGGCTACATCTACAAAGAAGAGAAGGGTATTAGTTGTAAGTGACTCCTCCCAGCAGGGAACTGAACATCCAGTATGCCAATCCTCTTTGAGAAGTCTGCTACCTCCTTGGGGCTCATCTGAAGGACATTGCCAAGAAACTGCCTAGCCTGTATGACCAGCAGATCATTACATTACTCCTTCTCCATGTGGGGAGTGATGAAGTAGCAATACTTAATTCAAGGGCTATCAGAAAGGATTTTGGAGCTTTAGGATGTCTGATGAAGAAGTCGAGGGTACAGGTCATATTCTTGTCTCTGCTTCCTGTAATGGGTAAGAACTGAAAGAAATGGGAGGATCCACTATTATAAACACTTGGCTTTGTGGCTGGTACCACTGCCACAATTTTTTTTTTCTTTTGACAACAGGATAGACTACACGACTGGACAGTGATGGGTTTCACCTCTCTCAAAGGTAGAAGAGGGTCCTTAGTGAAAACACACCAGGGCTCATTGGCAGGTTTTAAACTAGGTTTGAAGAGGGAGGGAGATAAGTGATTCTGTCCATGATAAGATGTGGGACGGCATAACTAAGTTAGAGGGACAGGGTTCTAGTGAGGGCCCTCAACCTGCTGGCAACACTGAATCACATTTGAAATCTTACGTCCATAAGCCAGAGACCTCTGAGACAATACGAGAAGGCAACAGGGAAACTCAAGAGAAATACTTCAAAGGAACTAAGGAATTATCCTCCAAGAAGGTGACAAGACCATCTGGACCTGTTGCACACCAAAACAAGTGATCTGATTGGTGACATCAGGACTGTAGTGATAATGCAATAGTAGAGTTCATAATCCTCAGGCGTATGGGACAGAGAAAGAATAAAATCAGGACACCAAATCTTAGGAAAGCCAACTCGAAGCTCTTCAGGGAGTTAGTGAACAAAATCTTTTGTGAATCTGTCCTCAAGGACAGGGGAATGTGTAATAGCATGTTTGTGAATATGTGAAATAGCATGTTTGCTATTTCAGTTTCCATTTAGCTGCATCACATGCAACAATGCATTTTTCTGGCATAATCACTCCTTCAGTTGCGTTGGGATTGTCGTGCCATCATCCTGAGATTCTGCAGTTACTCAGAAGTTTTCCAAGAAAGAGTGTGGGGAATCCTACGTGTCATAATCTAAAAACAATTGAAGTAAAAATAAACCAGAACATTAAAAAATCAAACCCAGGATATGTTTGAATGTCACAAAGTAGAGTTACATGGCAAAGCATGACACTATTTACCACTGCAGTGTATGTAATTACGGAAAGTCTTGTCAGTGCTGATCAAATTTGGACAAAAAAGCACCAATTTTTACTGATGAGCTATTGTTTATTTATATGACACCCTCTTTTCCTAAATTAGCAGAAAGAATATACATACTGCTTCAAATACACCATACGAGTCTTTGCTTTTCTGCTGTGCTTTCCTTGCCAAGAAGCCGTGCCATCAGAACAATAACCATAAAATTACCATTAATGTGGGTTTGTGTCCAGAGGAAATGGGCTCCTATTCCATGTCCTTCTCAGTGAATTGCCTGAGGGTGCTGATCTGCTGCTGCAACAAATTATATCCATTAAATATTTTCCCATAAAAGAACAACTTTGAATAGACTTGCTCCCTATACTGACATCAGCTTCATGCTGGCTGACAGCTGAGGAGCACCAGGAAGATGCTCTTGATAAAGCGTGGACTGCTTATGAAACCAGCTTTGCAACTCCTTCCTAGCACTGCCATTTGCAAGGGCTGCCTTCAAGGAAGGATATGACAGGACAAAAACCAAGGTGGCTTTGAACAGAAAAGAAAGTTTGTATTTTATGTATTTTAAATAAACCCTAATAGGCGGGCTAATGAAGAACAGGTTTGCATATGGCACGAGCAGTGGCAATCATAAGCTGAGCCCACTGAACTTAGTGAGAAATAGCATTTCTTAAAGAATTGTGACTTTTTTTTTTCATGTGTGATATTAGATGTCAGTCAAAGAGATTAGCTTTGTTTTTTTTTCAAAAGGGAATGTGAGCCCAGAATTAAGATGCTGATGGATATTGCTGCGTTTCAGTCTCCAGCAGGAAAAAAGGCCCAGTGAAACAAACCTCAAAAAATGGGTCTTCAAGTCTTGGACCTGCTGTATGTACTATTCTGTCCAATGGTAAAACTCATGCTCATTCGACTGGGGTGGAAATCATCCCTTAGTTTGTGGATAGTTTGTGGAGATACTTGTGATCCCTTCTGAGACTGGCACCATCAGTCAGTCATTGGGTAGGTCTGAGGAGTTAGTGACATCTCATGGCTGAATATTTAAATTAAAAGCAAATTGTTAGGCTATTTGGACGAGCGAGTGCCATTACCCAGAGTCAGCAATCACAAGTTAAAATGGATGGGCTTTGCTGAGCTGACATGGACAGCTGCACAGCAGCTCTGAGACGTGTTTTGCTGTTATTGAAGATGACATAGAAACAGTAAACATTTTAAATTTTTGTCTGTCTTTCAAACTGAGCCCAGGCTTTCACAGACTATAGAGCATGAAGACGCTCTGCCGACAGAAATGCTTACTAACATTTACTGCTTGCCTTGGGAAGCCCTCTGAGAAATTCCCAAGGAAAAGGGACCAGCACTGCCTGTGGAAAGTAGGAGTTTCTGCAGGAAATGATTTTGGTTTTTTTTCTGTGTCAGACCATTTAGAATACATTCAAATGTTTTGTGATGAGTTTTTTTGTGTGGTTTTGGTGAGACAGTCACAAAACCTCAGATAAAGTTGTATATTTAAGGGCACTGGATACTGTTGGGCTGAAGGCCTGGTAATCTTTTTTTTGTCAGAGAGAGTCCTTGGAGAAATCAGTGACAATCTACAAGAATTCATTATAATTTCAAGGGAAAGGTTGTGTTCTGCTACTCCATCTTCTGTAAGAATCACTACAATGAACGCAGCCCTGAGTAAACTGTTTTTCACTGAATCACATCATTCTGTCTCAGCACACCTACAGACCTTGCAGAGTCTCTGAACTTTGGATTAGGAGTTTGTTTTTTATCTCTGATGATGATAATTTGTTGCTGTTCATAAATTTCACTGACCCTGCACTGCTGGTATTTGTGGTCCTTTTGATCCACTGTAGAAAAAGGGCAAAAGATAACAGAAATTGAGAAACAGGGAAATACCAGCCAAGGAGAGAAGCTGCCATAGAGACTAGTGGCTGATTCATGGTTTTCAATCCCACCTCCCTCTGTCATAAGCATTCTGTTTCTTGAAAGCAAGTGAAATCATTGCTATGCAAATAAAATTTGCTTTCAAAAGGAAACGAATGTTTGGAGAGCTGACTTGGCTGGAATTTTCCCTACACATATACTTTGACATATCAGTGCTTAAACTTTGTCTGCATGCATGAGGAAGGACCGGGAACAGGCAAATGTTAGTGAAGATGTTCCCATCTGTTCCATTATTTGAGGATGTAAAGATGTTTGTCAGCTCTCATAGGCCATTCTATTTTTGCAAGGTGGTTTCCCTGCTCAGATTTCACATCAAAAGCAGCTGTGAAGATTTTTTTCCCAGCACATCTAGAACAAGGGATCCCTCTAGTCCCATCCTTTTTTTGCAGAAGGCAAATATAGGATGCAGCAAGGGCTTAACTTAAGGATTTCCTGCATTAGATCTTGAAGACCTTTTTCCTTTACTTCTGAAATAAATACAGGTTAACCCCATGCAGGCATATCTTATGTGTTACTCTGTCCCAACTTTCAGAGCACTAAATGTTCCACTTTGGTCCTCCTGCCCTCTTTCCACTCACTGTGCTCCCGCAGCACTCAAAAACGTCCTCACCAAAAATCATCTGACAAGGTCACCATCTAGATACTAGAGAGGGCAATAAGCTGTGTGTCTGCATAGAATTTCTTGTCTCTGAGAGCAGGGCACTGTGTGTCTCACCATCTTGAAGTTCCCGAGATTCACAGACAGCATTGTAGGGCAGCAGGGAGTTACGCCCCATCCTACACATGGGGAACTGCATCCCAGAGGGGCTCAATGTCTATCCCAAAATCACAGATGGAATCAGAACTAAGGTGAATCCCTAGTTTTGTGTGTGTGGCCACCTGCTCCCTCTCCCCAGCCCAAGCTAGTGGCTTAATGTATGGGTTGTCTTCCCTCCGGACGTTCCTTACAAAAACCCTCCTGTGCCAAAACATATTGAACACCCCGCATTTTGGTAGCATTTTGGATTAAGACTTTTATGAAGCTCCGTTCTCAAGCATGCTGTTTTTCTGTCTTCCCCACTGCAGATCTGCGCAGGATGACAGCTGGCTTCATGGGCATGGCTGTGGCCATCATCCTCTTCGGATGGATTATCGGGGTGCTGGGGTGCTGTTGGGATCGAGGCCTTATGCAATATGTGGCGGGGCTTCTCTTCCTCATGGGAGGTAAGGATTTTGGTGTCTCAGAAGACAAATGTTGCTTTCATATTTTCCCCCTTTTCTGTCACTAAAAACATGTTTTCAGAATTGTTTTAAGTTTTAAGAAACCAACTGGACTTGGTTTCATTCTGAGTTCCTTCTGTTGTATGTTATGAATAGCCCAACTATGGTTGCATATTCCATAAGTCAAACTGGGAAGGGCCTTTCTAGGTTGCTTAGACCAGACCACTATTGATACAAGTAACACTGTCACAGAATCTCCTATACCTTCAGCTTTCTAAGATTAATAAATTTTGTAATAAGACTCTGAAGATGAGGCACATGTTATTTCCACTACTATTCTATTCCACTGTGGGAGACTTTGGTAACTGGAATCTGTGCCCATCATCATTTTAATATGTGTTTATTCCTGCTCAGTTGTTCTTTGAGTCAAATGCAACCGTTGGTTTAAGTTCTCTGATGCTTACGAAGAGCATAATGGTAAATTCTCACCTTTCCTTCTCTAAATATGAGTTTTCTACTCCTGTAGATTTCCCTCTGTAAGATCAGTTATCAATCCAGCAGCCCTTTCTGCCACCAGTTCTTGTTTGTACATGCCTCTCTCAAATATAGATGAGAAGAGTAATTCCCGAACAAGGTCTGATCAGTGCCTCGTATAGTGATGTGAAGGTTCCAGTGCCCTGATGGAAGTCCCTTGCCTGAAGTACTTTATAACTGTATTTGCCTTTTTCATGCTATGTCACATGAGACACCCACAGCCATCCTTCAGTTAGATAATACATCCAGGCCTTTCTCCTCCTTTGTAATTTTCTACTGATGAGCTCACAGTTTACAGCAGAGTTGCTGTTTATTAGTCCCTAGATATATGCCTTGGCACTCTGTGCTTTTGCACTTCTTCCCATTTTCACTATAGTAGCCCTCAAGGTTACCCAATATTTCCTGTGTAATGTTCCAGTCTTCCTTACTACAGATGCCATCCAACTTTCTGCCACCAGCAGGCTTCATAGCACATAATTACTTTAAACGAAGGATGTGAGAATTAAGTCCCAACCACGGTGCTGGCTGAACATCTACAATTGAACAGTATTACTTCTGTTCTCCATTCTTTTTTTTTGCTGGTGGTTTTTGCTTGTCTGGGTCCTTGCCCACTGAGCATATCAGCATTTCAATGCATTTGACCACTTGTTCACACTTACTGTGTTGTGATACAGCAAAGAGTGTAAAACACAGGAAAGTATGGGTAGTCCCAGAAGAGGAGCTAAGTGCTCAGATAATAAGCATTTATGTTCCAGTGCTGTTGGTGAGATAGATGTCTTGGTGCCCACAAACACATTTGAAGTCTGCTAGTACCCTTTGCAAACACACACTGGTCTATATGTGGCTGCCAGTAAATGGTTTGTTGTGGGTGTTCAGCACGTTATGGGCAATGGGTCTGCCAAATTAGCTCAGTATTGCTTATGTAATTAAAAGCTTAATTTGCATGGGGGCTATGTTGCTATATTATGCTCAGATATGTGTGTGATATTTAACTTACTACAGCATGGCATCAGATTAAAGTGTTTGGAATACAGTAAATAAATACGACAAGCAGTTTTTTTTAGAAACTAGTTAAGTCTTATTTAGCAATTGAAAGTTATCAATAAATGTGGGGAATTTCTAGCAAAAAAAGTTTCTTTTGAAAGCTCATGAAAGTTATCAGGTGAAACAAGACTGAGTGTAAGCACACATAATGAGATGGGTCTCTGGCAACTTAGAAAAATAACAGTCGTTTGGTATGCTCAAACTATACACATTTCAGTGGAGACAGATTCAAGGTCATGCAACTGGGAACAAAACCGTCAGTCAGTTTTGCAGAACACAAGGCTGCCTCTCGGAAAGCAACAGCTCTGAGAAGGTCTCTGGGATCACGGTTGCTGGGATCTCCAGCTGCATGGGAGCTCTCAGTGCAATGCAGCTGCTACATGTGCCAGTTCATCCCGTAATTGTTTTGATGGGAATATGCGATAAGAGCGTGAGGTAGGATGATCTCTGGGGAAAGCTAAACTATTTCTGGATATCCTAACCCGGTATCCTTAACAAAAAGGACGTGGAAAAGATGGAAGAGATTTGCAGAAGAGCTATGGGAATGACTGCAGGTTTGGAAAACACGAAAAACACAGTGTGCCACAAAAGCCAATTGCTTGAAAGTGTTTAACAGAAGGTTTATAATTGACTTGAACACGGTGTGGAAGTACCTGTGCAAGGAGAAACCATCTGATAGTAGCATGCTCTTTGACTGAGTAGACAAAATAATAACAAGATCCAGCAGTTGGAAGCTGAAACTAATTGAAATGAGAGGCACCAGATCATTTTATCTGCCAAATTCTGTCAAGATGTGTGATACTTTTAATAAAGATGTGTTGGGAGGAGATCAAAGATATTTTCTGCTCCAGCATAGGCACGTGAATCAAAGTTTCAAAGGGTTGTTATTCTCTTTGTTGCACAAGTCCATGGCAACTGCTACCCCTTTCCTGGTTTCTTTCAGCAGCAAATGTGCATCTACAAAATGAAGCAGTCAGTTAATACATGCATAATTAAAGCCATCTAATCTGTTAGTCAGTAGCTATCAGTGTTTTCTTGCTGTGTCACAAGTTACGTAGGCATTCTTTCTACAGCCAATGAATCTAGTTTGAACCTTTTCTTGCCAAACACTGTTTGAAGATGAATCTGTTACTTCTGTCTTGACATAAATGCTGTCAAGATGTCACCCCATCAGCCTTCAAAATGCCTCCTAGTTCTGGTTAGTTTTCTTCTGGTTTAAAAAGGGGGAAAATGCTTTGGGAGTCTTACAGTGTCCAACCGCACTGCAGATAACAGAATTCTGTGTTACCTTGGTTGCTTTATAATCAGTCCAAAATCTGACTTTCCCTTCCATTTGCAGTGCTGCTTGTTCAGGCTATGTTTGTAGCATTTGTTTTGTATTAATTTATAGATAAACAGCTTTCCTGTAACAATTTCAGGGTTAACATTACTTGCTTAAGTCGTCTATGAGTTTTGAACAGGAAATCTCAATGGAGCACTGAGAAATGTACTGTAGTAATCTTACAAGACCAGACCTGGTTTCCCTGGACCTCTGGTTCTTTAATATATTTACTGAATGGTCCTCTTGCTAGCCCATGTGGCAGTGCTTAATAAGGACTTGCTTTACTGTGCTTGAAGTAATTTCTCAAGCAAATTGCTGGAATAAGTCATTTGTGAAATGCAAGGCTGTTATCTGGTATTAGCTCATCTGGAATCCAGGACATGTGAACTGTGATTTAGAGTGTATTTTACACTGTTATTCAGCATGTTTTGTAACAAGTTTAAATTATTAATAATTCATCTTTCCTTTTTAGTCCAAATGTATCTGTATCAACAACACACATCTCTTACGGCTTCTGAAGTTCTCCTGCATATTTTTCTGTATTTATCATAGGATTTGCACTTGGATTTCTTATCTTGAATGACAACATTTACCTGACAGCAGTAGATTTTGTTTTAGTCCCTCATCTTGCATAAGGCCAGATGGACACTGCAGGTTATATGGAGTATTTCTGACCTCATTTTGAATGATGATACTACTGCATAGTGTCCTGTACCCAGGACTGTAGCTTCATTTCAGTATTACCAGTATGATTTTATCCTACAAAAGTTTCTCTTCTGGAGTTTCTCCATTTGGAACCATGCTCTTCAGTTTCCCTAAGATTTGTTCATTTTATGCATCCTACTTGACACTGTTTAATTCTATTATAGAAGTGGGTCACACTCAAATTATATATCACTCCAAGCACATCCTCTTGCAGCTTCTCGCTTGTTCTCTACATGCAAATTATTGAAAATCTGTGCACCAGTAAAAGCTCTATGCTGGGCACATCCTCCAGTAATTTTCCAATTTTATAATAGTCACTGAAACCTTAGAGGCATCTGTAACACTGCTTTGAAATGTCATGGTCCTGTGGCAAACTTATCAAGTTTCATGAATATCAAGTACTTAGTGATAGTCTAAAAGGAGTTCAGTTAAACATCTACCAAAAGAAATGCACATATTTGGGGCATTTTTTATATTCTGCTTTGACCAAAGCATGTTTAGTTGCTCTGAAACCATGCTTTTGCTTTTTGAAGCCTGAGTATGACTTCTTTATCAATTCCCATGAAGCAGTCCTTACAGTTTCAGATTTGGAGAAGTTCTTTTGAATGTATCCAGATCCTTGACTTCTTTGCTTACGGTGGCAAACTTGTCATTTCATTTGGTTGGTATCTTTCCTCCCCAAGTAACAGCCAACACTGTTACCAACTTAAGGTCAAATGTCCATTTCTCTTCCAGCCCCAAAGAGTTGAGATGCTGTGAGCTAGCCCACAGGTAAATAACCCTATCGAGGCAAATTTCTGCATCTTCAGTGCATCCCTCCTTCCAGTACTTCATCAAGTTATTTAAGAATATTTCCTGTATCATGTTAGGCACACGGGCTAACCCGTAACTACATAACTAACGTAACTAACTACCATATGGGCAGCTACTTACGGGCCTTTCCCCCATCCTCCAGCACATTCACATATAGGATCTTTTTGTTTCAGTGTCCCTTTTCCCAGTCCGTTTCATTTTAGCCAGCTGTTCTGCACTAGCATGTGAGATTCTATATTTCTAGTTTTGAGAGCAGGGCTGATTTCATACCCAAATGTTCCAGAACCCTTTTCCTCCTCTCCAGTGCCTGCCACAGGAGAAGTGGGGTGGCAGGGCAGCCCCATGGGAACACACTCCAGCATCTCGGAGAGGCTACACCTCCCCCCCCCCCTCCCCCCCCCCGGCTCAATCTGGTGCACCTCTCTGATGAGCTGCAGTCTCTGGTCCCAGCTGGAAATTAAAAATGGCACTTCTAATATTTTTTTTCCAGTACTTGCTTCAGCATAAGATTATTCCTGACCAAATTATATCCCTGGCAAGAGCTGCATCACTTGCCTTTGTAAATGTATTAAAGACCCACAAAGAA